AACCACAGCTGCTCCCACAACAACCACTCCTGCTTCAATCACAACCACAGCTGCTCCAATCACAACCACTGCTGCTCAAACCACAACTACATCTGTTGCCACAACTACAAATATTGCTCCCACCACAACCACAGCTGCTCCAACCACAACCACAGCTGCTCTAACCATAACTACAGCTGCTGCCACAACCCAAGCTGCAGTTCCAACCACAACCACTGCTGCTCCATCCACAACCACAACTGCTCCAACCACAACCACAGCTGCTGCAACAACTACAACTAATGCACCCACCACATCCACAGCTGCTCCAACAACAACTACAGCTGCTGTCACAACAACCACAGCTGTTCCAAGCACAACAACATCTGCTGCCACAACAACCACTGCTTCTTTAACCACAACCATAGCTGCTTCAAGTGCAACCACAGCTGTTCCAAGCACAACCACATCTGCTCCAACAACAACCACAGCTGTTTCTACAACCACAGCTGCTCGCACAACAACCACAGTTTCTCCAACCACAACCACTGCTGCTCCAACAACAACCACTGCTGCTCCAACCACAACTACAGCTGCTGCCACAACTAGAACTGCAGTTCCAACCACAACCACTGATTCTCCATCCACAACCACAGCTGCTCCAACCACAACCACAGCTGCTCCAACCACAACTACAGCTGCTGCCAAAACTACAAATATTGCTCCCACTACAACCACAGCTGCTCCAACCACAACCACAGCTGCTGTCACAACAACCACAGTGCATCAAACCACATCCACAACTGCTCCAAGCACAACCACAGCTGCTCCAAGCAAAACCACAGCTGCTCCAAGCACAACCACAGCTGTTCCCACAACCACAGCTGCTCCCACAACAACCACTCCTGCTTTAATCACAACCACAGCTGCTCCAATCACAACCACTGCTGCTCCAACCACAACTACATCTGTTGCCACAACTACAAATATTGCTCCCACCACAACCACAGCTGCTCCAACCACAACCACAGCTGCTGTCACAACAACCACAGCTGCTCCAAGCACAACCACAGCTGCTCCCACAACAACCACAGCTGCTCCAAGCACAACCACAGCTGTTCCCACAACCACAGCTGCTCCAACCACAACTACAGCTGCTGCCAAAACTACAAATATTGCTCCCACCACAACCACAGCTGCTCCAACCACAACCCCAGCTGCTGTCACAATAACCACAGTGCATCAAACCACATCCATAGCTGCTCCAAGCATAACCACAGCTGCTCCAAGCACAACAACATCTTCTGCTACAACAACCACAACTGCTTCAACCACATCCACAGCTGTTTTTGTAACAACCACAGCTGCAGACACAACAACCACTGCTGCTTCAGTCACAACCACAGCTGCTCCAACCACAACTACAGCTGCTCCTACAACAACCACAGCTGCTCCAAGCACAACCACTGCTGCTCCAAGCACAACTACAGCTGCTGCCACAACTACAAATATTGCTCCCACCACAACCACAGCTGCTCTAACAAAAACTACAGCTGCTGCCACAACCACAGCTGCGGTTCCAACCACAACCACAACTGCTCCAACCACAACCACAGCTGCTGCAACAACGACAACTACAGCTGCTGTCACAAAAACCACAGCTGTTCCAAGCACAACAACATCTGCTGCCCCAACAACCACTGCTTCTTTAACCACAAACAAAGCTTCTCCAACCACAACCATAGCTGCTTCAAGTGCAACCACAGCTGTTCCAAGCACAACCACATCTGCTCCAACAACAACCACAGCTGTTCCCACAACCACAGCTGCTCCCACAACAACCACAGTTTCTCCAACCACAACCACTGCTGCT